TGTAAAGAAAGCTAAATCTTGGTTGTCAGCACCAATCATACACTTCATCGCCCAGAGTAGAGCTTCGACTTCTGTATGTAGGGGGGATAGACTTCGCCGGATGTTTGCAGCTCCCATGGTTGGCATCTCTCCATTTGCCGATGTACAGTACCACCCTGTTCCTGAAAAAATATCTGTCCTTTTCCATGATCCATCCACGAAACACCGATGTCCGGAGTAACTGGAATCCAATGAAATCTCTCTCACGCGATTTCGAGTTACAGTATCTAAAGAACCTTGGTTGTCAATATGTAGCTCAGATTGAGCAACCTGCCAAGCTTGTGCCTCTTTCTCCGCTAAATGTAGAACCTCTAATGGGTCTTTATCCACATTATCAAAAATCTTCTCGTTTCTCGCTTTCCAAATATACCAAATTATCCATGGAAATGAAGATGAATCAATCTCCGATGGAATTCTCCAGAAAAGATGATCCAAGTTCGCGTAAATAGAAGCCGAGGGAAAAATCCATGTAACCGAAGGGATTGGAGAAAGAGCCCAGATTTGTCTCGCAGGATGACATTCAAAAAGTGTGTGATTAATTGTTTCCTCCACAGCGCCACATCTAACACATCCGGTGTCATAATTTATACCACAAAAAATGTCGTAGCTTTGGTGGACACTTCACCTTCCATGCATAAGCTTTCAGAGATTTGATATCCGGGCCAAAAAATTTAAGGTTGGCATCAGAAATCTCTATCCGTGCGGTATGGTAACCCGATTTAACCGTATAATTTCCTGATTTTGTGAAATGCCAACCAAGGGCATCCTCCTTAGTTGAGACACCCAAAGGCAAAGCACTAATCAGCGCGACATCCTCCGGATCAAAAAGCTCCGCCAAGAGATTCATATTCCAAAAGTTTGATTGAACCATTACTTTTTGCTGGTCTCGGGAATTGAGCTGGTATCCATGAGTCCTCCCATACTGAGATGGACGCTCCAGAACCAACTCTTTTAATAAGTCCTTTATGAACCAGAGATCTAGCTGACATTATACTTCTCCAACCATAAGAAGGAGAGTACGATTTTATATTATCCAATGGGTTGGATTTCCGGAAATACCGTCCTTTAAATACCCTTGCAAATAGTGACTCAGGAGCCGTAATCAAACGCCATAATTGTTTAGCCAGTAACGCTGAATTAAAATCATCCACGTTCCGAAATCCTACCCCACTTTCCGATTTACTACTACAAAGTTTATCCCAAGCCATCCAATGCATTCCCCTCGATTCACCGTTTGAGCTCCACCAAAATTTTGCGACCGCACTCGTAAGTTTAGAAGTTATTGATTTATATAGAGAATCCTGTATTTTTTTTTTTAATTTACGGATAAAAAATAATATATAAATCAGATCCACTAAATAAATCATAGTCCATAAGTTTTTCCAGAAAAAATTGAGAAACGCACCTTACCTTTAGTCATAGGCCATAGACAGTAAATAAAAAAGGCGGTTTCAAAAACTTTTTATCAAAATCGTACTTCTTTTACCGGTCATAAATCTTTTTAAATTTGTGTTTCAAAAAAAAAATATTGAGTTTTTGACCAATAGATAAGGTGGACCGTCTTTACCCAGCGGCATGTCGAAAAACGCAATAGATAATGTAACTTTTTAAATTTTGATTTTTAATATTAAATCTATTATATTTATATGTTTTACTACTAGCAAAATCTATATATAATAGAAAATCCACTTTTTTGGTGTTGCGTAGGTGATTTTCTTCAATATGTTTCCATCCAAGACATAGGGTCCGAATGGTAACCGCGGTTTTTGTTGTGCGGAAAAAGCGGTATGACAGTGCGGTACGGTTGAACTGCGGTACGTGCGGTATGCGGAACAAATACGGTTTTTGTAAATAAGCGGTGCAAAATAATGTTTGATTGGTAAAAAACAAAAAGCGGTGCGGGATATACATTGTAGTTAAATAATTTTAATTAAACATTCAAATATGCATATATATATATATATATATATATATTAAATAAAAAATTCATAATAAACAATATGATACAACAGAAAAATATTTTCGAATATTTTAATTTTTCTATAACATATTTGTATTATTAATTTTCCGAATATTTTTTAACTAATTATTTAATTACATGTGGTTTTTCATAAATATTTTAAGTATTTAAACATAATTTAAATAAATATGGTGATACAAATACATATTATGTATCATATATTTGAAAAAAAACAATATGACAAAGAAATAAAACAAACCAAAATAACATGTATAATTAAATAAATGGTTAATACAAGTTCTATTTTTTAAATTACACATATCTCTATAGACTGTAGATACCACATAACGCAAACACATCAAATAGGATGTGAATTTACTGTAGCGGGCCAACTACAATTTTTACAAACAAAATTGAACCGCACTCACAACCCAAAAAATAAACAAAAACGTCCCGCACTTGTAATATTTTGTTGATTGGTAACATATCAATGGGTCCCATGAAAAATGTTCCGCAGTTCTGAAATCCGCTGTCTCCATTCACCCCCATAGTTAGATGACGAGAGTATAAACCACACTTACATAAGCCATGATTGGAAACATAAAAAAGCATAATTGAGAAGAAAAAAAAGTAAATACAACTTTTTGTCATCAATCAACAAAAATATTAATAATTTTCAGCTTTTTAGGCTAAAGGAAAAAATATTGCGGATTTTAGACTGGATAATATATTGGACCGCAGTTGTACATGACATCAATGCTTTATCTAGAATTTGTTTCCAAATCCGCAAAGCCCAATGGGTAATATTTTTTTCACTTTTCATTTTGATTTTTTAATTTACTAACATTTGCTAGATATAAATTATAATTTTTTACATGACATCAATGTTTTCACTTATCTAAAATTCTGCTGGACACATCAGCAAAAAATCGTTATTTGAAAACTCTCTCTACTTCTCAGCCGCCGACAAAAAATTCTCGTTGTGATGCTGGAGAGCGGCGGTTTCTTTAGCACCGGCTCTAGTGTCTCCCATGTTTCCTTAATTTCTTTTGTTTTCTCATCGGATCTTACTTCGCAGGTGGTGTATAGTTGTAACTCTTCTCGTGTCGGTGGTTGTGGCCGTTTCTTCCTTTAACAGTGTGGCTCGTCAGAGAGATCGCAGTGGTAGATTTTTTTTGTATCATCTCGCTTGAGAAGATGTTGTGTTGGTTCTGTGGTGATCCATAGAAATTTGAGACGGTTTTTGCCGTACTGGTTCATGGTTTTGGCTTATTGGTGCTATGGAGAATTCTCGTGACTCGGGTTTAACATTTGCTCGTTCTGGTCTTTGAAGGTGTCCGTGTTTGTCCTTTTCATGCTTTTCATGTGGTTAGATGGTTTTCCTGTTTGCGGAATTTTAGTTTTTGTTTGGGGAGTCACTTGGTGTTCTCGATTGTTGAGTTAAAAGTGGTCTAAGCGGCCAGATCTGTGGAGGGTACTGATTTCAGTGAAGATGATGGTTTCGGATCAGTTAAATCATCGGTTGGTTCGATTAATAAGGCCATTTTGGTGTGTTAGGTCCTTTCATAGATCATGTGCCGGTCTCGTGTTCATTCGTTTCTATCCCACAAGGATGGAGTAATTGTAGGTTCTTGTCAGCTTTCGTTCAGCCATTACCTTTCCTTTTTGTTCTAATTCTCCACCTTTATGCTAGTAGTTCCCTCTAGACTAGTTCCTTTTCTAAACAAAGGATTCATTCTATTTGAAGATGTGTTAGTTTTCTAAAGTTTACAGATGGTTCTTTTCCTTTGGATGTTTGTTGTGGTTGATAGCTGTATCGATCCTTTGTCTTTCTTGTCCTTAAGATCGTTGATAATCGAGAGGTTACTTTGCTCCTTGTATTTGCTTTCACAATCTGTTTAGGTTGGATTGTGTTTTGAAGGCTTCTACCTAAACGTTAATGGGTGTATCAGTCGTCGTAGTCACATTTGAAAGCGTGTTAGAGGTTATTGTTGTGGTCTTGCTTGCCGAGTTATGAAGTCTTTGGTTCTGGTTTCGAGAGATCGGCTTTCATTATGATAGTAGGTAGTAGATGTTATCTTTGGTTAGCCGCATGCATCATTGGTTAATCTCAGTCGCTGGTGCTCTAAAGGAGAAGTTTTTTGCTTCTTAAATCTATCGTGTTTCGGGTTTAAGCCTTATTGCCTCTATTTTTAGATTAAGGTTTCAGTGTCTTTTGATTATGGACTGAAATTTTTTGTTTTATTTGTCATTTGTCTTTCGTTTCCCTTGTTTAGGGCTTTAATTCTAGAGAAATCTCGTTTTCCTCCGGCTTTTGTATATGGGGACTTTTTCTTTGTCCACCGACTTAGCTTCCCTTGTTTGGGCGTTGTATTGTTCTTTGGTTGTACAACAAATTTCGATAGTAAAATTCCAGTTGACAAAAAAAAAATTATACTTATTTTTCCAAAATTACATATACCTAAAGAGAATAATTTTTTTTTATAAACTATTTCCTCATGTATTATTATTTTTAATTAATATATTCTTATAGCTACTATATTATAACCACTCTTTTGTATAATCTCATCCGGTCATCCCATCCATTAGATATATGTTTTCTTATATTTCTGAGTGCTTTTGTTCTTAATAATACAAAATGGTCATGTGATTTAATATTTATTAATTTATATTTTTCTGAATTTAAATTTTATTACAATAATATGTTATATATTTTATTTGTAAATAGATAAATAAACTTAGTACATATAGTATTTTATTGTAAAAAAGTTTAATTTTTTTGTTTACTTATTTATCTTCAATAGTGACGTGAACTGGGGTTCTTTGATTATTTTTTCAAACCATGTCTCCCATTAAATTGAAATTTAAGTGATTTAATCAAATTTCGTTTAACCAAAAACTAGAAATTATTTTTCAGAGTAGAATGAAGCAAACTATTAACATTAAACCGAAATGCCCAATCCCAATTTAAACCGTAAATTGTTTCAGCCACTCATAAACCGTGTGAACCTCTTCAATTCGTCTTCCTTGAGCCATGAGACAAATCACATTCCCCTGCATCTTACGCCACCGAATCTCTATTCTTTCCGGCGCCGGCTATTATCCTACCGCCGCACGTCTCTCTTCTTTCGCCCATACATCCACCACCACCGAGTCACAGTTACCGCCAATAACTTCTGAAGTTTTGCTCGAGTCGATAAAATCCTCTCAGTGGCATTTCATCGAACACGTTGCGGACAAACTCATACCTTCCCTTGTATCAACAACTCTTCTCAGCCTCGTCAAGACTCCTGATTTAGCCTTCAATTTCGTCAACCACATCGATCTTCGTTGCCTGGACTTTCAAACACAGTGTCTAGCCATCGCTGTTGTCTCTAAGCTCTCTTCTCCCAAACCCGTTACTCAGTTGCTGAAAGAAGTCGTTAGTACTCGTAAGAACTCAGTAAGAGACCTTTTCGATGAATTGGTGCTTGCCCATGACCGGTTAGAGACTAAAAGCACGATCCTTTTCGACTTCATGGTCAGATGTTACTGTCAATTGAGAATGGTAGATGAAGCCATAGAGTGCTTTTACCTGATGAAGGAAAAAGGTTTTGATCCCAAAACTGAAACTTGTAATCACATTTTGAGTTTGTTATCGAGGTTGAATCGTATAGAGAATGCTTGGGTCTTCTACGCTGATATGTATAGAACGGAGATTAAGTCGAATGTTTACACTTTCAATATAATGATCAATGTATTGTGCAAGGAAGGGAAGTTGAAGAAGGCAAAAGAATTTATATGGATCATGGAGAGTTTTGGAATTAAGCCTACTGTTGTGACTTACAACACTCTTGTTCAAGGGTATTCTTTGAGAGGACGAATCGAAGGTGCTCGTTTGATTATCAGTGAAATGAAATCTAAAGGCTTTCAACCAGATTTGCAGACGTACAACCCGATTCTGTCTTGGATGTGTAATGAAGGAAGAGCCTCTGAGGTGTTGAGGGAGATGAAGGGGAGTGGGTTGGTTCCGGACTCTGTTTCGTACAATATTTTGATCCGTGGTTGTAGTAACAATGGGGATTTGGAGACAGCTTTTGCTTACAGGGATGAGATGGTGAAACAAGGTATGGAGCCGACGTTTTATACTTACAACACGTTGATTCATGGTTTGTTTATGGAGAATAAGATAGAAGCTGCTGAGATATTGATTAGGGAGATTAGAGAGAAGGGTATAGTCTTGGATTCTGTCACGTACAATATACTCATAAATGGTTATTGCCAGCATGGAGATGCAAAGAAAGCATTTGCTTTGCACGACGAAATGATGACCGATGGAATTCAGCCTACGCAGTTTACTTATACGTCGCTTATTTATGTCCTATGTAGAAGAAATAAAACGAGGGAAGCGGATGAGTTGTTTGAGAAAGTTGTGGGAAAGGGAATGAAGCCTGATCTTGTGATGATGAATACCTTGATGGATGGTCACTGTGCTACAGGCAACATGGACCGTGCATTTTCGCTGCTTAAGGAGATGGACAGAATGAATATCGATCCTGATGATGTGACATACAATTGCTTGATGCGAGGGCTTTGTGGAGAAGGGAAATTTGAGGAAGCTCGTGAGCTGATGGGGGAGATGAAGAGAAGAGGAATCAAACCTGACCACATTAGTTACAACACTCTAATAAGTGGGTATAGTAAGAAAGGGGATACAAAGCATGCTTTCATGGTTCGGGATGAGATGTTGAGTCTCGGGTTTAATCCTACTCTTCTCACGTATAATGCTCTGTTAAAGGGTTTGAGTAAAAACCAGGAGGGTGAACTCGCAGAGGAGCTACTAAGGGAGATGAAAAGTGAAGGCATTGTTCCTAATGACAGCTCCTTCTGTTCTGTCATTGAGGCAATGTCAAAATCTGATAATTGATTGATACCGGCAATTGTTAGGTTTTTCAGAAACTTTATTTTTTACAATATAGTTGTTCTGTTTCTTCTTCAATCGAATTTCCAGGGATTTGGTTCTTGACTATAATTGAGAGTGTGAGAGAAAGCAAATTAAAGTTTCATGGAAACTATAAAACACACACAACATACTAAAATTGGTCTGAAACACATTAAGCTACATAGAACTATCCGATAGACAAGAAGGAAAGTCATAACATAAAACTTAAAGACAAGACCAATACAGTCTTTTCCTTAGTAGCTTCTTCTCCAAGACACCCTCACATCCATCATCATTACTCAGTCTCCTCTTCTGGTCTCAAGACAACAAGAAGCAGTTTGTCTGGTTTGATGAGTGTAAGTTTGCAAGTAACCCCAGCAACAATAGGATACTCCTTAATCAAACATATCCATCCAGCAGAGAATGCAACTGTTGTACTCGCCAAATAAGTCACATTCCATGACCTCTTCCCATCTGGGTGATGGATCTTAAACATTGCATTTTCCTTGGGCATATGAGCCTTATCAAAAGCTGTCGGTATCGGCTGAAAAATAAAAATAAAATTGTTTTAGGAACATAACCCACTTTGTAGACTGTGTCAAGTGTCTTTGGTTAGTCTTATCATACCAGCATTCTGAGGTATGATCTTCTGATGAAGATGGTGAATTCTGCCGCAGAGGACGAAGAGGCACCTGCGGAATCTCCCCGAGCTTTCTTCTTTCCGAGGTTGAGGTTCCTTTTGCTTGTTCCTCCATTAGATTCAGCAGCTGTTGTCGGGCTCAACTCAGAAGACACAACCACCTCTTCCTTCTTGTCATCTTCCCTTTGTTCTGTTTTGATACCACGGCCTGTCTCATCATCAAAATTAAAGAATCAGTTGATATCTTTATCAGGTTCACTGTTTTATAATCAGAAAAGCAAATCTTTACTTGAAGAAGCCAAGAAGGAACTGGATTGTGGAGGTTGTTGCATCATCTCCTTCCCATCTTGCTTAAAGATGTTCACAGTAAACTTCATCTTTCCTTTGTGAGTGAAGGTAATAAACTCATTGTTTCCCAAGGCGTTGTCTCTCACAAACTTCCCCCATCCGGACTTCTCCAAATAGTAGAATCTCGGGTTTTTCGAGATTGCTACTTCCCAAGAGCTTCCCCATTGCGCTCTTATCTTCATCTTACGGGAGAGCTCTTTGTTGGAGAAGCATCTCACAAATTCATGAGGAAGTGCTCTCTTTTGTTATGCAAATAAGATGAAGAGAAAATAATAAGAACTTTATTCCATTACACACAAATGACAAACCCAACAAGACATTGAAAAAGAACAAAGGTGAAATATATATAAAGCATAGATCCTCACATTCAGATAGAGAACCGAGAGATTCAACAAAACCATGTTTGTTAAAGATAAAAATGCACTGAGGTTTTTGAGACCCATTAAGACAAATTGACCAAAAGATCAACCTTTAAACACAGCTCACATTCAGACAGAGAAGCAACAAAATTAGTGAGTTCGTTACAGAGATCAAAATGCAGTGAGTTATTTGAGACCCATAAAGACTATTGACGAAAAGATTCAACATTTCCAAACTAAGTTAACAAGATTCAACCTTTTCACAAGACCCATTTTCATATATAGTCATATAAGGAAAGCTTTTCCAAACTAAATTAGCAAGAAATTGCCTAAATTAAGAAGAAGAAGAAGAAGAGTTCAGAACATTGTTACTACCAAGTTTTCTGAAGAAACATCAAGACTCTGAAGCACCTTGAAGAAGCTTTCGTTATTTCTTTCTTCTTTGCACCGAAGATAATCACGGTTAATAGCCATCTCTCGAACTTGCTCTCGTCTTTTGCTCTCGTCTCTCTCTCACACTCTATCAGTCTCTCTGCTTCTCTACCTATCTCTTTCTCTCTTATAATGAGAAAAGATGTTGCCATAACATGAAACCAATCCCTCTAATTAATATTTTTTAAAATGATTCAGTCAAAGTGGTCAAAGTTAGAAACTTTCCCTCTCATAACTTAAGACAATTTAAAGTACAAATGTGAGATCATCTTCTTTTTTAGATCACAAAAATGTGACATCATCTTTACAAACTTAAGAAAAGGTACAACAATTGTGATATCATCTTTCTTTAGATAACACAAACGTGAGATCATCTTTTAGTCATAAATTATAAGACTAAAAGCCAAAAAAAAAAAAAGATTCGTGTTGGAATTTTATCTCATTAAAACGAGGGAGGAATTGGAATTTAAAAAAAAAAGAAGTTCGTTTAGTTAACGACTGCAAGAAAATTCGTTGTTAGTATCAGCGAAGAAAATCAAAGCTATACACAGAAGCAAAACAAGATTCACCTCGACGATTGACGACACATAAACCAACTCAAAATTCCATCTGAAATTTATCAATTTCGTAAATAAAGCTCTATTATGTTATTAGCGAAGAAACAAACATTAGAACTGGAGATCAAAACCGACCTCGCAACAATTTGACTTCTAATTGTCGAATGGTTTTATTCATCAATTTCAATATCCGTTTGTGCTCTTCGAGAATCAGATTGAAGCTGCTCGAGACTTGTGAGGAAGATGAGTGAGTCACCACCACCACCAAAGAAGAGACTCTCTTTTGACTTTTAGTCCTTGTACATATTTCAAGGCAAATGGGGACTTTAATTTTAGGATCTCTTATGTTATTTTTGTTCAAGGGATCGAAATCGAGGGAGATGAAGACAAGGATGAAGAGAGAAGATCGTTTCACTAGTTTAGTTTTGTTAGCCACATGTTTTTTTTTAGTTCTTTTTTTTCAATCAAATACCACCTCTAGAGGTGTGATTGTTTAGTTCTTATTTTTACACTGAAAAGGTATCCAAAGTCTCACCAAATCAGTTTTCAATAATATTTTTAAAAAGTTTTGTAAAGTTTGAATAATAGTGGATTTGATATGGGTTTTATAAATTCATGATTGAAAAACATGAGATTTGAAATGATTTGGAATGATTTTACATAAATTTCAGTTTCAATAACATGGAATTTGGGAAGATATTTTAAAATCACTAATTGAATAACAGGTGATTTTAAAAAAAAAAACCAAAATTTTCCAAAGTCATTGTTCCAATACACCCCCTAAAGATAGGGTCTTCTGAAAATTATAATTGCATAAGGCATAGTACAATGATTTAGTAAACACAAACCAAAAAAAATATGATTTGGTAAACATACCTTTAGATAATAAGATGTGTTTATGCAACATCTTTATTCCAATACAGCAAATAGTAAATATTGTTGTTTTGGTTTTTATGTGGTTTCATATCCTCTCGTTATTCCACATAAATGCACTACATAATTTGCATTTATAAATTAGATCTCCATCATCTATGTAAGATGATAGGCTTGACTGGATGCCCTTCTTGAAAAAAAACAATATCAGAAAACAAAAAAAATATTCCAAGATATACTTTTTTTTACTGATGGGAAGAAACAGTGCAACAAAAAAAAAATCTCCAAAAAAAAATAGCAGCTTAAATCATTCATTCACTAAAAAAACAAGTGGAAATATATCACCTAAATAAATTGGTACACTTTTCAAAGTGATAAAATCAAATTTTAATAATTATCATGAAACAAGTGGAGGAAAACCAGAAATATATTTTGCTTATGAATAGGAGTAGTTTGTTTTCATAGTTTATCATGAAAATCAAATTATTTCCAAACTTTCTATCCCTCCAAAAAATAATCTTGAGAAGTATTTTATTATTATTAAAAATTTTCAATCTAATATTTCATTCTAGAATTTTCATAACTCAATATTGAAGGTACTTTACAATTTCTTATCCATCACATGTGTTATGAATTTAAATTTATGTTACATTTAATTTCTATAATTTATTTTAATCAAATATTTTTGTAGCACTAATTAAGGAAAATTTTGTTTTTATTGTTAGCACTTATTTTGAATGAATGAGATTATATGTATCATAAAATTTAATTTAGTTTTATATAATTATTAATTTTGTAGGTGTAATATATATTTTTATATATTAAGAACGTTCGATGCCAAAAAAAATGAAATGCAAAATTGTTTTGATTAGAATATTTTTATGTGCTTTATATTTTAATTAATATAATTTTTATAATATGGAAACCTATAATTTTTTTAGTATTAACTGTTTAACTAATAGTATTACATCTTACTAATTTTATGATATATTATGAAGATGACTAGTAGGTCAAATAATACACGTAGTAGAGGTCGTCGCAAAACTGTCGGTAGAGGACGATCGAGTCATGAAAATGCTTGTGAAAGAACATCGAGTAGAGGTGCAAGAGGGACAAGATGCAATGTATGTTTATAAATATTTTCTTTATATCATTTTTATAGTTTATCTACATATTATTTTAAAAAATAGAATTGTGATTGTTTAAAATTTTAAAATATGGTTAGTATAAATGGATGCCTAGAACAACTCAAAATTTTCTAGAGCTTGTAATCGTTGAATTAGAAGCAGAAAACTATACGATTACGGTACCATTAGCTGCTGGTAAATGGAGGATCAAAGAAAAATTTGTTGAACTAATTGGTGATTCGGTTAAATGGGAACCCAAGATGAAAAACAAATTTTAATTATTTGAAAAAATGTGGTTTTTCAACAACAAATTATCCAAACTTACTGGTACGCATGTTGAATCATTAGGATATATCAAGATGGAACCGTCATGGTGAGACGATCGATACACGCTAATATTTTAATTTTAATTATGCTTAACTTATAAGTTTTTGTAAACATGCTAATAGGTAGGCCTGGGCGTACGGATATTCGGGTCGGGTTCGGGTCGGGTTTTTCGGGTTCGGGTTTTTCGGATTTAGAAAACTAAGACCCGTTCGGGTATTTTAAAACTTCGGGTTCGGATCGGGTTTACCAAAAGTATCCAAATATTAGAAATTTTGTATCCGATTCTATGCAAAGTATTGAAAAATACTCAAAAAAATCTATAAAACCCAAGTATTTTAACCCGAATCTAGCCCAAAGTAGCTAAAACACCCGAAAATATCTTAACATCCGAATAATTTAGGCACTTAGGTTATTACAAGTATAAATATTACTAATATATTATAACTATGTACTTATATGCAGGGTATGTTTGGGTACTTGTTCGGGTTCGGGTTCGGGTTTTCGGGTTGTGAAGTTTAGAACCCGTTAGGGTATTTTAAAACTTTTGATTCGGGTTTGGATCGGATTTTTCGGATCGGGTTCGGTTCGGTTCTTAGGGTTCGGGTATTATGCCCAGGCCTACTAATAGCATACTCATAAATCATATTTATTTTTACAGGAACTCGGTGAAACTAACAAAAAATATATAACCGTGTTGCAAAATAAGCCTCTTCCGTTCAAATATTTACTAGATGTTATACACAGTAAACACGATCTGGAGCAAGCTTCTCGCTATTCACTCCACAAGCTTGGAGTTTAACTTGATCTCAAACAAGAACCATATGATGATGATGTGCCAGCGGATGACGCGGAAGAAAATGGTCGAACCGCACTTCCTCCGGAGAATTCTAATCTAAGAGCATATGATGATGATTTGCCCCAATGTGATATTCATGCACTAAGGTTTGGACATGCCGAAGAGACAATTTGGCGAAAGTTTCATGATGTTCTTAAAGCAATGGAACCATTGACTGTAGAGTATATACGTCCAAGAACAGTCGAAGAACTTAGAGATATCTCCAACCGTTTGCAAGACGTACAATATATTGGCCTTTTTTAATGGATTTGTTGATGCACTTGATGGAACACATGTACCTGTTATGGTGACACCAGGTCGAGAAGATCTCCGATTTATAAACTGAAAGGAAATTGCAAGCTTCAATGCTCTAGCCATATGTGATTTAGACATGTTTTCACATATTGTTTTGTCGCGGGATGCCATGATGCACGTATCTTGGCGGTTACGATAAGTGATGATCCAATATTTTCCGTACCTTTAGAAAGTAAGTATTATCGTGTAGATTCTGGATATGCTAATAAACGCGGATGTTTAGCTTCATAACGAAAAGAACATAGAGCGGCACAAGATATAATCTCCAAGAGTTTTTTAACGGTGAGCATCCTGAAACAGTAAGAAAATGTATAATAGATGACATGCGTCATTACGTTCCGTTAATGGAGGGTCCTATATGAATTTCCGAGGTATGACATTACTACACAAAGAAGTGTTATATTCGCTACAATGAGTTTGCATAATTTTATTCGTCATCATAATATTAAAGACTATGACTTTAACAATATTGATTCTGAGAATGATGTTGTACAAACTCAACCTGATGCGACGGATGAACAAGATAACAATGATGGTCTTATAATCGAAGAATAATCAGAGGCAGGAATGTATATGCGGATAGTTCGTGTTCAGAATGCTGAATACATATGGTTAGTAAAAAGATATGGATCTCGGCATTGTCGGTAGAATTTAAATTATGTTTTTCAAAAAAAAAATATTTTGTTTAATTGAATAATGAAATCTTTAGAACTGGAGCATGGTTTACAATAATTCTATAATTTTAATTTAATTTTTCAAGGAATACTAAAACTTTATTTTATAAATTTAAAATAATAATATTTAAATTTTTATCAATTATTCTCAATTACTTTCATTAACCACCAGTCAAATAAAAAATATACATCTTTCTTTTCTTCTCAATTCTTCTACCGTTTACTTTTCTTTTCTTCTCAATTAATTTCCTCCCAATTCTTCTATTACCCACCAATCACACCCGATGAAAATAGAAAACTGTTAGCTTTTCCATTAGCTTTAGGCGCCAAAGTTTATTAAAAAATTAGTTTTTTTTTTTTTAAAGTTGAGATATTATAGTGTTAATGTTTCCCTTTAAACTCCCTTCATATCACGAGTTTGAGTCTTATATCAATCGTTTTTGTAATTTTTTTTTTAATTAGTGTTTTGTTAATGGGCTAAAATTTTTTATGCTTTAGGCATAATATTCATTTGGGCCGGCCCTGCTTATACCCAAAGTACATTATGTTCAAAAAAGATTACTAATAAAATATCTACTATTCTCATTGCTAGTATTCGGCACATATTCATGTTCTGATGATATATTTATTTTAGAAAGTTTTGCAAAACGATTAGCAATGACTTTGGTATAGTCCTCAAATAAGAAAAATATACATATAAACATATTACATACACAATAAATTCGAAAATTTTACCAATAGATAGATCAAATGTATTATAGCAATTAGAGATATAAAGATGACAAAAATGAATAGTGCATGCCATGTGTGTAGGATTTTCACCTGAACTCGCTATGCAATTTTGTAAGAACGAACATTTCTTAGGAAGGCAAATGAATCAGCCATTAGAGTAGTTTAACTTTGCTATAGAATAAGTGGTTTTCAGGTTTGGTGATGAAAGTCTCTATGTATGAAAAATATTTATAGTGGTATAAGAAAGTGGTAGGTTTTCTATGAGTGAGTAGTTAAAATTTTGCTGAGCAAGCAAACAATATCTTCAAATTTTGTTTTAAGGAATCGTTTTAATAGGATACATATATCGTTCAAGAATATAATGCTAATATAAATGCTAACAGTTGTTAGCATTCAATGAAGTGATAGAGTTAATGTTGTTTCTTTTTTTTATAGAAAAATTATACCAAATTTATTACGGAAGCAACCAAATTTATTACGGAAGCAAATCTCGGAATATATTAGAATATGTTAAAAATATAATCTTGTAAGCTAAAAATCAATTTTCAAATAATGTTTATTATTAGGATTCCATGTTTAATTATTTCAATCTGATTTCTAAGAACTGAACGAGTTGCGGGATCAGATGGGGTACAAGAATTCTAATATATATTCTATCATGGAGGAAATTGTGAGTTAGCTTTCAATTTTGTTACCATTGGTTACTTTCATAAAATTTTAAAACCCTAATTAGTTTCCAAAATGTCTGTGTCGATAGTATAAATATGATGTTGAAGCTTCACTGAAGCTCGTGGATGATGAGTCTGTTTTTAAGGAGTGCTATGATTTCTTAAATTCGTACAAGGAAAAACTCACTAATCTCCAAACAAGTGTTTCTTGGTCACAAGAGAAAATCTCCTCCTCCAGAGATGCTCTTCTTCCCCCTGTGAGTTTTCGCATACATGTTTTCACTTTTTTTTTCCTTTATTATGTGACCTGAGAATAAAGTTGTTTAATCTATTTGGTCTTTTCTTTTCTACAGGTCATTTTCATCATTATCGAGCAACTGTTTCCTCAAATAAGACAATACATTTCCAGTGACATGGTAGATACAATGGCAGACATGACAGAAGAATTTTGGAACTTATTGGATGAGATACGAGGATATGTCAATGTCTACCAGCTGGGACACATTTTAGCTACTGAACCGCAGTCCGATATAACGATCATCATGTGCTCGGAGCAAGTTCGATTCGCTTATTGGAAATGGAAGAAGGTATGATTTCTTATTTTGTTAATAAGCTACATAATATCTCAGTTTCTTCCAACCTATTTTTAATACTCGTTTGTTTTCGCTCTTAGGATCATCTACATATGTTAGTAGGGACCAATATATGGTCAAAACTCATGGGCACCATGATGGATCAATTTTCCCATGGTAATCTCTTTACACTTGTTCAATTATTTTTTCTGACATTTTTAAATTAGATAATATTTGTTAACAGTTTCTGTCTTTTTCGATAGAAATATGCTGGGCAATTGTTTCTGTTGAGCTTGTGAGTGTTGTGCGACACATCGAGCGACGCGACATAAAATATACTAGATATTCTGCTCAAGCATTGGTTGATTTTACTTTGCCTCATTTACGCTCTGTATCTAGGGGAAACCACTTTTGCTACCAATGTCATGTGCGAGATGGCTTGATATGTGTGAGTAAAATGGGAATTGAGAGGGCAGAAACACGCACGCTTGAGGAAAGTTGTAACAAAGATGTAAAGCCACGAAATTCTTCAAACTTGGGCTACATTGGTGGGGTAGTGACATTACAATCACTTGCAGAAACCCTTGGTGTATTATAGAGACATCCAGTGTCTTCAAGTATCCCCATTTTTGAACCAGAATACTCATACATCAAGGATGTAAGTGCCACATAATCAGAAAAATCATACATGTAAATTATTTATCTAACATATGGGGACTTGCCTGCTAACTAAAACTTGCTCATCTCCAAAATTTATGTTATGTTTATAATTTAGGATTTTGTCATTTGATGATAGCTTTGTAAAATTAGACATAAAATGTGGTGTTTTCGAGAAATGTCCAAAATTATTAATAATCAACATTATACCTGTTCGTCACACCTTTCGTGAAGAGAAAGTTGCATGTATTAGGATTGTAAAACAGAAGTTTCTGCCCATAATGGGTTATAGTTAATCATTAAATCAACGTAACCTCCACATAGACATATATATAATAACTCTCAATACAAAGTAGTAGTTCTTCTTCACATATGCTTTAATTAAACGTACATAAAGTGAAGAGACTTTCAAAGACTCAAAGTAAAGATCAAATGAGTGCTAAAGCCACAAAGCACCAGCCTCCTTGAGCAACATTTTTAATGATCCATTGAGATGAAGAGTCATGACGGTATTGACCGTTCCTACGAATTTCCCTCGAGTGCTCTATTATTTATTTTCAAAAAATTGTTTTTAGTATGTATAGTTTATGTAAAATATTTTATTTAAAATTAAAGTTTTTGCAACAGAAATAATTATTTGCACTGCATGTTCCGCTTTCTCCATTCAATACATATTTTGAAGCGTTTAAACCGTTTGATCTGCACTTGTACCACCAGATTTGCTTGATCCTCTTTTATTCTATTTTATACACTTGATCCGCTTTGTCTGATATATTTTCTCCATTCAGAGTCATAGTGTTTTTACTATAGCATGCAGATCAATGGTTTTCTTCATAAAATTGAACTGCTTAAATGAAGATTGCTTTTTTATTAATAAAATTTTGCAGATCAATTTTATCATCTTGAATAGGAGACACAAAAACGTTCGTCCTGCTATGCATAATATTCACTTTTGCTCTGCTCTTCCATTTATAAGTTATTAATAAAAGCAAATGATTCTGCTTTATATATATATATATATATATATATATATATATCTATATCTATATATCTAATATGATATTAGATTAAGTTTGGATTCATTTCATAAAAGAATCTCTCGTTCAATTCAAGGTACATGTAGCAATTTTATATATATATATATATATATATATATATATATATATATATATATATATATCTAATACGATATTAGATTAAGTTTAGATTCATTTCATAACAAAATCTCTCGTTCAATTCAAGGTACTTGCAACAATTATGAGTGAGTTCAATTGATTTGAAATGTTAAAGTTCAAACTAAGTACGCAATTAGGCTTTTAGGTTTGTATTGCTGAAAAAGAATTTAAAGTATAACAAAAATTTATTTTGATTTGATTCACTTAAAATTAGTTCACATAGAATTGTCTTCCGTCTTAAAACTAGAGCAATTTAATTTGTAAAATATCCATTTGAGGGTTTGTTTGGTTAACAGATCTTTACTTGAAGGGTCTAACATATCCAAACTAATTTTTTGTTAACAGATCTCTACTTGAAGGGTCTAAAATATATCTATAAATATTTGAGGGTTTGTTTTTTTAATAATTTAGTTGAGAAGTTTTAAATACACCGATTAATACTTAAGGGTTCTAGTCATTTAAATCTCTTAGTTAGGGTTTTTTCATTAATAATATAGTTGAGGATTTTAAAATGGATCTGCTGATACTCGAGGTTTTTTTAATTAAAATCTCTTTATTTTTAGATTGAAAAGATTAGTCTAGTGATGTAATAATTTGAGCACAATCAAGGACACTTTGATTGAAATTCTCCAAAATTACGATCTAGTTGAACATCACTTTAAACAAAACTAACAAAAGAAAATGATTCAAAGGTCCATTATTCCATAAACTAATAAACAAACAAAATTTAAAAATGATAGAGATTAAAGGTTGTAAAGCTCATAATTCTTTAAACAGAGAAACAAGTACTAGTTCAAAAAATTGCATATGAAACTTAGAACATATACCAACTAGAAGTCTAGAAATGATGATTGTTAATGGACGGCCAAACTTTATTCATATCAAACGACGTCACATCAGCATCACCTTCACCACCATTAATTTCTCCAATGGTTGTTCCATTAGGAGGTGACTGTTGATGGATACCATCGTTGACTGCTCTAGTGTTGCTTCTCCTATGAAATTGTGAGTCACCATTGTTAATAGTGCTTCCTTCCTCTTTTACACCTAACTCGCGGCTCATGAAATCAAAAGGGTGTTGTCTTGGTTCACTCGTCTCCATGGTTGGAGTATTGATGATGTGATGTTGTAACTGATGAGAGACTGACCCAACCAAACCATGGAAGGTCATCATTGGGGCCCTAACTTGCTCTATATCCAAATAAAGGTTTTCGTTTCTACTGCTTCCTTCGTATAAAACATGCCTTGGACTTTTTGTTATAAGATACCAAATCCATCTCGATTGGTTGGAAGGTTCTAGGTTTAGGCGATTCAGGAGACGCAAAAACCCATTTATCTACTAAGTAATAACTTTGATTCCCCCTTAGTGCATTACCAATGCTCACCCTTTTTGTTTCTTTATAATTCGTCCAGATTCTCTCATCAACCTGACCACCTCGTATAATAACATCATTTGCGGTGGCCGTGAGCTCTTCAAATTGCACCTTAAATGGAGGCACCGGTGGATCGCGAAGAGGATAATGTTGCACAAATTCTAGCTTCTTTCTATGGAGTATGATATTATCCCTTGAAAAAGATATCAATGCATTAATCTCACTCAAGCCAAGATCATCAATTCTACGACCACGATGCAGTTCCTCCATCAATTGATCAGTGACATAATCCATGTGCTTCTTTTGAGTTTTCATGAATTGCTCCTGAACCTTCTTTGTCTTCTCCTTTAGGTATGTCTCAAGACTCATCCCTTTCTTCTTCTTCTCGATCTCCGGTAAGGCAAAGAAACCGTCTAGAAGGTCATGAGTCTTTTCAACAGATGGCCACACCATTGGCTCAATGTCATTAGGGCTAAACATGATCATACAAGCCCTTACAGCACACAATATTGTTAGTTCTTTTACCTTTTTCATTAACCATACAAGTATTTTCATCAATTTTTTTGGCTCTTGACTTATCATTCTCTACCCATGCAAGTTTTATTTTGTTTACAGCCATGGTCACTCTTTGATTTTGATCTCTTGTTTTGAGTTTTATTTTTGTAGGATATGTGAATAAAAACGAACGAAAGAATTTATATAAATAGAGTTTAACACTGATTTCAGTCAAAAGATTTAGATATGGTAGATGATTTGTTAAGATGTAATTACTATTTATTTAATAATATTGAAAGTTTATTGTGTTGACAAAAGTTTATTGTGGCCATTAAGATAAACCAAACTTTTCAATCTAAACCAAGTCAAAATATCAATCTAACAATTAAAAATTTTCCTTTGTTTTTGATTAAAATAGATCCTTTTCAAATATCAGAAAGACCTTAAGTGATTTCGAACTGAAATAAAATAAAAAAATTTAAAATATGTTTTAAAAGAAATAAATATAATTTACTTAAGAATTGGATATAGACCCAAATTAAAAATTCTACCACACTAATATATATATATATATATATATTAGATTTGGTTTATATTTATATTATTTTTTAAAATCAAACCAATAGACCAAAACTTAAACATGTTATAATCTTTTTGGTGGGTATGTTGTACCATGGAATTGAACTCTTTGCACATCAAAATTGAATTTTCTTCCAAACATAAGCCAAATGATACAAATTTAATTTCATAGTCAATACATCTAGATAATGATTTAATTCATAATTAGTCTATCATTAGTTAATGGTAGTAATTATCTTGACCACATTATTTTCATTGTTGTACAATGTATTAATTCGTATTGTTTAACAATAATTCTGGAAACAAAATATTCTATGCATTCCAACATAAGCATTGTTTTATTTTTATATTAGAAAAGTTGACTCCCGAATATTTTATTTACTTTCTTCCCAAATGTTAGATTAAGAATATAAATGACCCATATTCTATCAGAAAAACGATACTTATTTTAATTTAGAAAAAAATTATTTGTATACTATTAAATACAATTGTATTAGTTAGATCAAAATATTTTACAAAGTAATATCATTTATCTAAATGTAACTACATGCAATATGATGGTCTATGGATAGGTTCCCAGAAACTTCTGATCATTTTCTTATGATATGTATAAAATCACATTTGTTTCCAAATAATGGTATTCTTGTTATATATTTGATATGTTAGAAACCGATGTATTGTAGTGAACTTGACTCCAAAATCTTTGCAAGTGAATTTTTTCACAAAATTAATTCAAAACCTCTCTACAACGTTTTACAAGACCATATGTTTTTTTTTTTTCTTAATCAAATCACTGTTCATGGATCTTTCACATTTCTCTAAAAGAGATTTAATTTTTTCTTTCATAAAATCTCGAGTTTCTAAACATTTTTTTCTTCTCTAAATCGGAACTATGAAGTTATTTTAGGGTTCTACCCAAATTCCCTACAAGTGAAATGGATCATTTTGTCTAACATTGTTTTTTAACAATGTTTGATTTGAGGGTTTATTTTGCATTAGTTTGAAAAATTGGGTATTAATTATCACCTCTTATTTTGTTGCATTTTTTTCATGAAATCAATTCTTTGGGATTTTATTTGCCATTTTAATACTACTTTTACACTATCAAAACTGCAGTATTAACTTTTTTTTAACTAACCATAAAGTTGTTTATAGCAGAAATATAAAACCTATATTTTGATTTCCAAGAGGAATACAATGTGCCAATTCATCAAAAGAATGATATAATCAATATGAAAGCAAACAACATAAGAAGATTATTATGTTTTTAAGAGGAAATCGCCTGAAAATAGTGCATAAGAAAGAAGAATAGAAAAACAGTGAACTAATGGGTAGAGAATTATGCTGCAAATAATAAAAAATTATATGAATAAAATAAACATATTTGAGATAGGAAGTTTCGGCTGTAATAACTTGGTAACTACAAAAATATTAAGTCCTTTCTCCATCTAATACTAGAAAATTTCACCTTTATATGTTTACTAATTAAGTAATGCCTACTTTATTTTGCAGTACACATTTTACTTGCAATTGGACTTTAAAATGTGTGACTAATGCCATAAAGTATTGTTACACAGTTCCAAAGAGTTTTGCTAACTTCATATGAGAAAAGGATTTATGATATGGGAGGGAACTTCAAGTTACAAAGATAACCACACATTTTGTAAAATCTGAAATAAAACAAACTATTTGAATCGTTGAATCATAACCATAGTAAGATTTAGACCTGACCAGCAAGTCACACCCATCCTGCAGCGGGTTTAAAATTTTTGACCCACAAAACCTCTAGGAGTAAATAGTTACCTGCATACGTCCCGTTGAGATCACGGGACCCGCATCTATTTTTTTTTTTTTTGCCAACCTCACATTAATTAATAAAGAACTCCTTGATTGGTTGCCCGATTAGAAAGATAAGTGTCTACAAAAGAAACTTCAGAAAATAAAAGTCTAGAAAAACGGACCGCATCTATTTTAATAAATCACTTTTGATAAATTTATAAAGATATTTAAAGCTAAAAAATAATTAATATTAACAATAAATAATTTTAAACATAAATACACATATTCTTAAAGAAAAACTTAAGCTTTGATAATTACTTTATGTAATATAAAATATTTTAAGATTTTAAAATTATATATTAGATGAGTTAAACACATGATTTCAGCATTTTATTTTTAATTGGATAATAACAACTTCTCTCTCGTTTTAATTGGATAATAACAATATTTTCTTCATAAATTAAAGAAACACATTAGAGTTATGTGTGACAAAAAAAAAAAAAAAACATACATTGTACTTATTTTTCAGTTATAACTCTAACCACTTTGACTGAATCATTTCCTTGGAAACTTGGTAGAGAATTCAACATGTTTGGCCATTTAAAATTTAAAATTGAAATTTAGATCAAAGTCAGGTTTATTTAAATTTTAGTTTTCTTATATTGTCTCTTCATTTTATTTGCATAACCAAAGAGAGCACTTCCTCATGACTTTGTGAGAAACTTCTCTGACAAAGAGCTCTCACGTAAGATGAAGATAAGAGCGCAATGGGGAAGCTCTTGGGAAGTAGCAATCTCAAAAAACCCGAGATTCTACTACATGGAGAAGTCCGGATGGGGCCTGGGGGAAGTTTGTGAGAGACAATGCCTTGGGAAACAGTGAGTTTATAAACTTCACTCACAAAGGAAAAATGCATTTTACTGTGATCATCTTTAAGCAAGATGGGAAGGATTATTCAAGTAAGATTTGTTTTTCTGATTATGAAACAGTGAACTGGATAAAGATTATTTAGTATTGATGATGAAACAGGTCGTATCAAAACAGAACAAGAGGAAGATGACATGAAGGAAGAGGTAGTGTTATGGTATCTTCTAACCGTGGCCCGACAACCTGCCGCTGAATCTAATGGAAGGAAGCTCAACCTTGGGAATAAGCCACCTAAGGAATCCGAAAATTCTAAAAGGACCAAGAAAGTGGTTAGAGCCCGAAGAGTTTACGCAAGTGCCTCTTCACCAACTGCTGCAGAATTCACTCTTTAGCCAAGACACTCTAAACAAAATCTCTGGATTGAGCAATGACTTTTTTTTATATATAATAAATTGATATGTGAATCATTTCGTTTGAGTGTTCAGAAGATCACGAATTCTGTTGCTAAGGATCATATGCCGGATGAGAAAACAATATTCAAGATCCATCACTCAAAAGGGAAGAAATCATGGAATGTGTGGTTTATCTGGTGAGGTTGGAGCTTTCTCTGGTGGATGGCGACTCGTTGGTTAAAGAGTATCCCCTTGTTGTTGGGGATACCTGCAAATTTACATTCATAAAACAAGGGGAACTACTTCTAGTTGTCTCTAAACCCTAATGATGATAATGTATGTGAGGGTGTCTTGGAGAAGAAGCTACTGTGTAGAAGGACTTTGTGTTTATTGATGACTTTAGTTTGGTTTAAGTTGACATATGAACTTTGCTTCTTGTCTATCGGATGTATCTCTTTAGCTTAATATATGTATATGTATGAATGACCCTAAAATCAAATTATCAACTCAATGGTAATATAGCTTAATTTGGATTGTCATATGTAGAAAACTTTGGTTTGAATCTTTATTTCTTGGTTATGGAGAAAACTAAGAAAGTGAATGTACCTTAGAACCTACACTTTTTCAACAAAAGAGAATGAAGAAGACAGTGGTGGAGGTGATGGCAAAGCCGTTGCCCAGAGAATCTATCAGAGTTGTTTTCGAGGAGGAGAAAAAGGATGCGGCAAAGAAAGCTAGGAAGAACAAAACATCGTCGTATAGGGCGTTTGTTTTCAGACTCGTATGAATATATATCTACTCATAACTCATCTCCATCTTCTAGTTCCATATCCCGTGCCAAGAAACGAAAGACATAATCCACATCTTGAGACGCAAGAACGAAATTACTAGTCTGAAACGACAATTTTTGCCCATCTGTGACTAAAGAAGAGCCCATTTGTCCACTTGGACTTTAAATTAGCCCATTTTTGTGTTTCTGACCGACTATAATCGCAAAATAAATTCACGAAATATATAATGGTCGCTAGACCTATATAGCTAAGTTGCTCTTTGGCTTTTGTTAATTGGTTTCTCTAGGTCTTTTTTTTTTTTTTTTTTGATAAACCCTAAATATTTCTCTAGGTCTTTCTTACTTAATATCTAAGTTTTAACAAATCTCTTTCTTCCTTCGATCGGAAATCATGAATTCACATTCCTTAACGAATGATCTCATCTTGGAGATATTGTCAAGATTGCCTGCAAAGTCAGTCGCAAGGTTTCATTGCGTGTCGAAGCGATGGGCATCAATGTTTGTTACTCCATATTTCAAGGATTTGTTCCTGGCTAGGTCCTCGGCTAAACCGCGCGTCTTATTCGCCGTTGTACAAGACGGTGTGTGGAGATTCTGCTCATCGCCTCAGCTTGAGAAGTCGTCGTCAACTCTTGTAGCAGCCGCCGAATTTCATGTGAAGTTCTCACCAGACAATCTACGGATCTATCCATTTTCTGACCTGAGATATTTTTCAATTGGCTACGCCTCTGGCTTTATATATTTATATGGTGATCGATACGAGGCTAGACCTGTGATATGTAACCCCATCACAGGATGGTATGCGATCTTACCTAAACGGTATACTTACAGAAAGGCGTATAGCTTTTTTCGGGTTTGGCCCGATTGACAAGCAATACAAGGCAGTGTCCATGATTTATCCATCTCGTCCTGGTGATAGTAAAATTCTTACATTTGGAGATATGAAGTGGAGTAAGATCAAATATCCCGTACGACATGATATTTTTGCTAGTGAAGGGATATGCATCAATGGGGTTTTGTATTACTTAGGTGACACGTCGGATTGGGATATCCCACACGTCGGATTGGGATATCCCTCATGATATACCGTCTGGTTATGTGATAGTTTGCTTTGATCTTAGGTCTGAAAATTTCACCTTTATTGACTTAGAAAGGTTTTGTCATCAATTGATAAACTATAAGGGCAAATTAGCTGTGACTTATTGGGAGAATGATGACTACGGTGATACCATTAATGAGTTGCATGTGTGGGTTTTAGAGAATGTCGAGAAACAGGAATGGTCGAAATATGCCTACACTTTAAGCGATGATAAATTCTTCCGTTCTGAGGTTTCCGTGGCTGGAATGACTGCTTCCGGTGAGATAGTACTTTCGATGCGTGGGTATACATCTAAACAACCGTTTTATGTTTTCTACTTCAATCCCGAAAAGAACAATCTCCGACGTGTTGAAATTCAAGGTTTTGAAGAAACGTTTAAGAAACCTTGTACCGTTTACACCTTCGTAGACCACGTAGAGGATCTTAATATTAACGATTTAAAACAACTCAAGTCCAGCCCATCCTCCACTGGTAAGCCAGAATATTATTGTCGATCAGATTCAGAATGAGACTGAGAAGGGACAAGGAGAAGAAGATAGAGACGATCATTGGAGTTAGGTGAAAGCAATGGACATGTCATTTTGTACTCTTATCTATTCATTGCTGTATTTTTCTTCTTTCGTTCTTCATTGCATCGTCGAAATTTACCGATTTTCTTTCGCTTTAACGAGCTTTCTTCGTTTTGGTGTCAAGAACATGGTTTTGTTACTTCTCTTAATTCTCCGTCTGTTTTTTTATTAAAATTTATAAGTCTTGTTGGGTTTATCATGACACTAATTTCATGGTGAGATTTGAAACTTTGGTATCAAACTAATACTTGATGTAAAGTTTAAAAAGTTCTACCAATTCCTGTTGATGCAGACATCTCCAGATCTAAGTGATTCTAGCAATAACTCCGATTCGATGGTGGACTTTAAGTTTAATGAAAGAAAAACGTGTTGGGGATACTTGCAACTTCACACTCATCATCAAACCAAACGAGCTGCTTCTCGTCGTTGTCTACAAACCCTAAGAGGAGACTCACTGATGATGATGTCTCGGAGAAGAAGCTACTGAGTAAATTTGTGTTTATTAGTGTTATCTTAAGTTTTATGTTTTGAATTTAGCTCTGTTTTATTTGGTATTGAACTTTCTTTTCGTATCGGATTGATGTACGCAAATCTGGTTGAAAGCCTTTAGATTTCATACCTTGGACTGGTCAGTACTCTGTTGTTTTAATTTTCTACGCCAATTAAATGTTCTGGTCTTGGACTGGAAACCAAAGATTTGCTCTGACTAATTCACAAAGTCCATGAAAAATACAAATCTCTCAGTTGAATCATGCAAATTTTATAGTTTGGTCCACAAATATTGGATCCTCCTACGACTGGAATGCTAGCTCACAAGGACATAGGTTTGTTCTATGTCTTTGTTTTTATATTCAAATGAGCTTATGATTATAAAAACTCAAGATTAATTAGGATATTTTCTCAAAAATGCGTGTATTATAATATATATCATTGTTTAGATACAAGAAACATTAGTTTTGTAACATAAGTATTTGATCTCTTTCTCCTAATTGTGAGTGTTAACCTTGGTCATTTTCTTTAAGGTCTATAAGTTGCCATGTTAATAAAGTCACACGTTTCCTTCTTCAATGCCAAGACTCAAGATGACTGAAGAAAATCCAATAGCTGGTGGCCCACTTGGACGTTAAATTAGCCCAATAATTCTTAACCGACTAAAATCAGAAAACAAATCACGAAATATAATGGTCTTTTTTTCTCTTAGGTCTTTTGTTAATTGGTTTCTCTAGGTCTTACTTAATATACAAGTTTTAACATATCTCTTTCTTCGTTTGATCTGCAATCATGAATTCAAGTTCCATAACGAATGATCTCTTCCTGGAGATATTGTCGAGGTTGCCATCAAAGTCAATCGCGAGGTTTCATTGCGTGTCGAAACGATGGGCATCAAATCTTGGTAGTCCATATTTCAAGGAGTTGTTTCTGACCAGGTCCTTGGCTAAGCCACGCCTCTTATTTGCCATCGCAGAAAAAAGCAATGAAGAAGAGGAAGAAGAAGACTGTGTGTGGAGCTTCTTCACGTCGCCTCAGCTTGAGACTCCATATGAGAAATCCTCGTCGGCTCTTGTAGCAGCCGCCGAATTTTATGTGAGATTCTCTCCAGACAATCTATGGATCAGTCATTTTTATGACCTAAAATATTTTTCAATTGGCTACGCCGCTGGCTTGCTCTATCTATATGGTAATCGAGGCCAGGCTAGACCTGTGATATGTAACCCCATCACAGGACGGTATGCAATCTTACCTAGACGGTATACTTACAGAAAGGCGTATAGCTTTTTCGGGTTTGACCCAATTGACAAGCAATACAAGGTATTGTCCATGTTTTATCCATCTGGTCCTGGTGATAGTAAAATTCTTACATTTGGAGATGGAGATTTAAGGTGGAGAGAGATAAAATGTCCCTTACGATATGATCGACATGAGGTTAAGAGTGAAGGAATATGCATCAATGGAGTTTTGTATTACTTAGGTAGCACGTCGGATTGTGCTAATGATGGTCATGATGAAATATCTGATTATGTGATAGTTTGCTTTGATGTTAGGTCTGAGAAATTCACCTTTATTGACGTAGAAAGGTTTTGTCGATTGATAAACTATAAGGGAAAATTAGCTGTGATTTATTGGGAGGATGATGTCGACATTTATGAGCTTTATTATCGGGAGGGTATAGATGTCGACAAATATCTGGAGGAGAATCTAGACGTTGATGCCATTAATGAGTTACGTTTGTGGATTCTAGAGGATGTTGAGAAACAAGAATGGTCGAAATATGCCTATACTTGGACCGATGATAAATTCTTCCGTCGTCTCGTTTCCATTGGTGGAGTGACTGCTTCGGGTGAGATAGTGTTTTCGATGCGCAAGTATACAACAAAACAACCGTTTTATGTTTTTTACTTCAATCTCGAAAGGAACACTCTCCAACGTGTTGAAATCAAAGGTTTTGGTGAAGCGTTTAAGGAAAATTGTAGAGTTTGCACCTTTGTAAACCACGCAGAGGATCTTAATGTTAACGATTTAAAACAACTCAAGTCAGTCCATCCTCCATTGGTGGATGAATCAGATTCAGAATCAGACTGAGAAGGGACAAGGAGATGTAAAGGATAGAGACGATCATTGGAGTTAGGTGAAAGCAATGGGCATGTTATTTTCTTTTTCTGTCAACCTTATCTATATTTACTGTTTTTGTTTCTCTCTTGAACATACCAATGTAGTTTACATGTATCCTTCATTTTGTTTGGTCTCAAGAACAAGGTTTTGTAGTTTCTCTTAGTTCTCTGTCTTTAATCTGAGTGTATTTGCTTTAATTTTCAACATTGTTTCTTCTGGATGAGATTTGTCCTCTGTTCTGTTTCAACATCTTGTTGTTGTGTTTGTCGTGTGTGTGTGATGGGGCTAATTTATTTCAATATGACATTTTGGACTAAATACTTAAAATATGATTTGTACAAAAATGTTCACTGATTTTTTAGTGTAATTGAAGAAAACATTCCTACTGTTCTACCATTCCTGGTTTATATTAGTCTCAGATGGGGTTATCACAAGTTTATTTTAATAAAATGATCACTGATTTTTGACTGTAAAAAGTTGTGGTATCAGATTCTTAGTCTTGTGATAACCCCATAAATATGAACAAGTTCGGACAGTAAAGGAATGGATCTCTTGCCTTGTGGATCTTGTTCCTTGTTAATCTTATCCGAATCTTTCTCTCTTGACATGAAGCCTAAGTTGCCATGGAATAAAGTCACATGTTTCTTTCTTCAACGCCAAAACTCTTAGGGAATCATCTTTTTTGCAGTATATAAATTGTGGGGATCAATGGGTTTCTCATAAACCTCCTCATAAGAAAAGATTGGTGATATCAAAATCAGAGATGTCAAACGTGAGTTTTCTTGAGTTGCAGTACAAGCTCTCCAAGAACAAGATGTTGAGGAAGCCTTCAAGGATGTTCTCTAGAGATAGACAATCCTCAGGGCTGTCTTCACCCGGACCAGGAAGCTTCTCTCAGCCTTCTGTGAATGAGATGAGACGTGTTTTTAGCAGGTTTGATTCGGATAAAGACGGGAAAATCTCTCAGACAGAGTACAAGGTGGTGCTGAGAGCGCTAGGACAAGAGCGGACGATCGAAGATGTGCCTAAGATCTTCAAGGCTGTGGATCTGGACGGTGATGGGTTTATTGATTTCAGGGAGTTTATTGATGCATACAAGAGAAGTGGAGGGATTAGGTCTTCCGATATACGAAACGCTTTCTGGACTTTCGATTTGAACGGGGACGGGAAGATAAGCGCAGAGGAAGTTATGTCGGTTTTGAGGAAGCTTGGGGAGAGATGTAGCTTAGAGGACTGCAAGAGGATGGTAAGAGCTGTTGATGCAGATGGTGATGGATTGGTTAATATGGAAGAGTTCATGAAGATGATGTCTTCCAACAATGTCTGAACATATCTCTCTCTGTTTCGTACAATCTAATTTCAAAACATTAAATTCTTGTAACTTTGAATCGACATGATCTCCAATGTTCTTCCAGAATAAGACCAATAATAGATATAAAGCAATAACTTATTAAAAAGTTAGTACATAAACTTAAACTCATGTAAAAGGGTCTAGAGCAGATGAAACTTGTTACAGCGTAGCAAATACTATTCCATTTCCCAACTGCTAGCAAAGTTCTGGCAAGAGCTTAGAGCGCTATACATGATGCGAAACAAAGGCACAGAAAAACGCCGCTCTACCAGTAATCACCACAAGAACATTTACCGTCTTTGAAGTGATGGAAACGTTTGTTGTCTCTCACGATCAACTCCCGACCAATGATTTTGGACATGATCTTGATGAAGTTGTGACAGTCCCCACACACACGGAGATTCTTAATGATTGTGAGGGTCTTCCGAGGTGGGGTGCATATGATACCATAAGCAATCGCTAACCTCTCACTGTGATAGAGTAGTGCCTGTTCTTTGGCCTCTTGATCGATATCATGCAGAACAAATCGTGTGTCCGGAACATAAACCACTCCTTTCTTTGCAGCCATCTCCTTTGCTTCATCCTTGTAGAAAGTCAGATTTCGAAACTCGAGAATCCTACTCTTACTAGTAACCATATTTGTTTCCTTGAATGATTTAGGTGGAGGAGTAGGAATTTTGTTGATTACAGCCTTTGAAGGGTCAACATCAACCATCAATTCCTCCATGTAATCCTCTAAATCGATATCTCCATGTAACCGAGCATAGTTCCTCATAGCTTCCCAGAAATCAGCTGTGGGCTCAAACGGAAGATCACGGATGTATTGCTCAGCCTCAATAAGATGTCCGCATTTCCCAAGAACACCTAAAACACCCAAATAATGTTCTGTCCTCGGACTAATCCCATGCTCGTTTCTCATCGAATCAAAATGCAAAAATGCTTCTTTTATACCACCAACAGTAGCACAAGCCAAAAAAACAGTAAGGAAAGTCTCCTCATTCGGCTTCAACCCTTGTTTCGTCATCTCCTCAAACAGATGCAACGCATCATCTCCCATTCCGTTATCACTATACGCACGCATCATCAAATGCCAAGAATCCATATCTTTATCAACCATATGATCAAAAACTCTCTTAGCATCAGTAACACTCCTACATTCCCCAAACATACTAATCACCATATTGTTCAGTTTCGGATCACCTCTAAACTTAGACTGCAGGAAATGATCATGTACCTTCTTCGAATGCTCAAGCGACTTCAAATTCGCACACGACTCAAACAACAAAACGAAACATTCTCTATCAGGCATAGCTCCCTTATCAAGCAATTCAATAGCATCTTTATATAACCTACGCTGACATAACCTCATCACCTCCTCAACACTAGGAGGAGCTACCTCATTCATCTGATTAGGGATTTGATTCGAGCTTCGTGGCGGTTGCTGCTGCTGCTGCGGAGTGTAATACTGACTCTGATGACTTTGTTGAACATTCTGATTCTGATAATTGTTACCAGCTCCACCGTATTGAGGCCTCTGACCACCGTATTGAGGCCTTTGACCACCGTATTGAGGCCTGTGACCACCGTGTTGAGGATTTTGACCACCGTGTTGAGGAGTCCATTGGTTAGGGTTTTGTGGAACTCTTTGATTCTGATAGCTCTGAGAATCGAAGCTTTGAGGTGGATATGGGCGTTGTTGTTGAGACGGTGAACCAGATTGAGGATTCTGGTAGTAATCGTTAGTGGCGGCGGATGTGCTTAGGTTTTTGATCGGAATTGAGTTTAGAGTCACGGAGGAGCGGAATTGAGAGGAGAGTCGGGGAAATGAAGAACGTATATGTAGGAGAGAGCCAATTGTGACGATTTTCTGGGTTCGTGCGCAACGAATCGCCATTAGAGAAGACATATTTCTCTGAGAGAAATGGAGAAAGATTAAAACCCTGGAGAGAAACCAAAACCCTAGTGAGTCTGTGAAATAAAAGATTGGGGATGAGAATCTTCGCAGGATATGAAATTATGATAAGATTTACTTTTGGGTTTGTTAGGCCTGTTAACTAATTTATAGTTGGGCCGAGTTGGGCTGAGATAAGATATTGTAAATTTTAGGCCTTGATTGTTTTATAGATTTTTGAAAGAGTTTTGATTTTTGGTTTTTGAAATTTCTTTGCCATACTAATTAAATTATTTTGTTTTCTCCTGAATTTATTTTTGCTATAAATATTAATCTCATTCAAGACTTTTGTCTTTTTTAGTTCTCGTATAATTTAGGTAATCTAGTTTTTTTAAAAATCTAATAGCAAAATATAAAACTTAAATCTAAAATACAAAAACTAAAAACCATATCCGGATTGAGACACCTTCAATGTTTTGTTGATTTTGAAAGAGTATTCGGTTTTTGCTTTTCAAAAATTCATTGTCATACGTTTTTGAAACTTTGGTTTTCCTATAATTAAGGAATACAATTTTGCTATAAACTCCGACCGGCGACACGCGTTACCTTGAATATTTTACAATTTTATTAATTAAACAGAGTATCATGTATAATACTCCATGAAACAATAAACAGAGGGACAATGCTATAGTAAGTACTAGGCCTGGGCACAAATATGGATCCACATCGAACCGAACCGAAATTGATGGGTACGGTTCGGTTCTGGTTCTAGTGAAAATATCGATTGGATCTTGAATCAAAGAACCATGGATATCGGTTCGGTTCGGGTAGGAACCGATATCCATTCGGGTACCCAAAACTATAGTCCATTAACCTATATTTATATAACTCAAAGTTTCAAACTCATCTAGACATAAACCTAACTACCCAAGCCTAACAATCTACCATATATCTCTCTTAGCTTCTTATATATTTCTCTGAAACATAAAGAGAAACCCTAGTTTGTTCTCTCTTTCTCAAAGAAGGAGACGCCGCAGACAACAACTCTCTCTTTCGAATCATTGCAAATCGAAGACAAAGCTTCTTTTGGTGTTTTTAAAACTTGTGTTTTGTTGTATTTTTGAAACTTTGGTTGTCTTGACTTAATACTTTCCAAGTTTCAACTACTATTTTTTGAATTTGTAATGGTATGATGACTAATATGTGATGTTGCATTACATACTTGCATAATTGCATTTGAATTTTGCATTATAATTCTATTGTTTTTTCGGTTCCAAAAATATCAGAAATAGTTTGGTTCCTATTCGGTTCCAAAATTTATTACCCGAACCGAACCGAACCGATATTGATTTGGTTCCAATATGGTTCTTAAATCTCATAACCAAAATACTTGGAACTGAATCGAATACCCAAACGCTCAGGCCTAGTAAGTACAAACGCCACACATCTGACATCTCAATCTATGTATTAAAGTAGGATCTTAGACGCACTACGATATCATTTTTACTACACAAAACTAAAATATAAAATCAATCAATAGGTTATAAATTAGAACAATTACCAAGTTAATAATATGTTCAGTTGTCAAATTCTTTAATCAAAGATCTCTCAAACATCCTCTCATATTTTTGACAAATTTTATATTGGCTCAAAACCCACATTAATGTAGTAGATACTGTGTTACACTTCAGAGGTCAACTAAAACAAACTTACTTTGAAGTTTGAACATAAAGATTTGAACAAATCTAAGTCCGAGGAACTGAAGATAATAACATACACTAGTGTACATATTACAGTGTTTTATTAACACATTTTCGTGTAAACAAGTAACAGATATGTCTATCTATACAGACTTATTTTTGAGACTTGTACACACAACATTCGAAGATCCCTCATGTATGTTAGGTTGTAGTAATCGTCACTCTATTTACATCTTCCGCATCCTATACATCCTCTTCTTTTCTAAACATCTCTCTACTATTTCCCCATATGGTTCACATTACGCGCACCTGGCTCAGTTTCTGCGATTTCATTCATAGTCTTGAACGGAAAACGCGTTTCTTAAAACCAAGATTTGAGTTCTTACGGGAGGAGGACGTGGCATACGGTTGACCGTTGAGAGAACCCGCGAATCTGATATCCCATCCTTCGATGTTCTTTGGAACACATGAGTCGAATAGGAATTGCCCGAGAACGCTATGAGCGTTTATACTTGTTGGTTGGAGTGGGCGGAAGGGAGATCTTTCTCTCTGTTCTTCTTGTGAAGATGATGGGTCGTTGCTGCTGCTGTTGCTTTGATACGGCGCTGAGCTGGGTAAGAAAAAGTGGTCACTTGGCCCAGTGGCTACTCTTCTTAGGCTTTGGTTAGAGTTAACAGCAACTTTCTGAAGGTCGCATATTAACTCAGAGATCTCATCATGTGTGTGAGCTCTTTCTCCGAGCTGCCGGATTTTCTGTAAGTGAACTGACATTGCTTTCTCTAGAAAGTTGGAGATAACAGCCCGGTATTGTATAGGGTTATGTGTGTAGTGTCCTGAACAAAGAGAGGAGCAAAAATGACAAAAAGCTCAGATTTTGTAGCATTGAAAGTCAAATCAAAAGCTATCTTCAGGACATAGACTAACCATTATCAAAGAATGTCTAGCCATAAGAGACCCCGTGATAGCATATACCGCATATTATAAATACTAGTCATAACCATAGCATGTTGACTAACCTGCATGAGGAGAATTTTTCCACTTGACAACTTTAACTTCTCCTCCCAGTTCCTGCAATTGATGGGTGAAGCTTGAAATTACTTGTAAAGGAGCAAGTTCGTCATTCTCCGAGCACAAGATGAGATATGGAGCCCCAATTTCCTGATAAAGTTATCTAACGTTAGCTACAAATTTGAGAATCCACAATCAGAAAAGGCATCAAAGCTCGGTGGAAACTTACAACCGAAGAGTAGAGGGCCTGCCAGTACTCACTGCGTTGGGATTCAAATCTTGTAAGATATAAACCGTCCAGCCCCGAAGAAATCCCTTTGGCCACCCAAGATACTAGTCTTGAAGGCCCAGACATTCGTCGTATGGTGGGATGTAGTGCGAATTTCACATTCAAATCACTCGTAAAATCCAACGGGCCAGAGTCATAGACATGTCCAGAAAGACAGTTTCTAACCAACTGGCTATCATCCTTGACAAATTGGAAAACAATCAATGAGTTGAAACTAAATCAAGGGATAAACATTTAATGACTTAAAATAAAACTGTATAGGAGACAATTCTTACCGGATGAATTTGAGCTTCACAATCACCCATGATCACCTGCATTGTTTAATAATTTTAGCAACAAAACATAAAAACAGCACAAAATGACAACAAAATAGCTGAAAGTTAAATCCTTTTAAGCTAACCTGTAATACTTTATACATACAAGCTTTAGGAGCACCAGAGAAAGCTAGAAAGATAACAGGACATGGTCTAGTCTTTAGCTCCTGAACAACAACCACAGTAACAACATTAAGTAACACACCAAAATCATAAAAAGAGAATCATTTAACATAAGCATGAACCTTACCTCAACAAGTTCAGAAAGAAGGTGGAATGCTAAAGAAAGAGCCATTTCAGGATAAAACCTGTAAACATAAGACAAATAAGCAAAATTACTAAAAGAGATTCTCAAAGAATATCTAAAAGCTAGCAATGGAATCTTTTAGATTCTATACAATTTTGATTGATAAGAATTCAAAAAAAAAAAAAAACAATGAATCCAAAAACAATCAAATCTAATTTAAAAGAAAATCATAAAGAAGCAAAAGTTTCTTTCTGATAAATACTCTTTTACAAAACCTAAGCTAAATCATCGAAAAATCATCGGAAACTTCAGCTAGTTCGCCGGAAAATTGACGAACAAGAGAACGAACTTACGCAGTGAGGAAATCAGCGCGACAAACAAGAGAATTCCAACCAAGAGAAGAATAAAGATCAACGAAATTCATAAGCTGATTCTCGTTAATCGAACTCCAAACAAAGATCACAACAACACCGTTAGATCCACAACCGTCAACCGCCGCAGCATCTTCAATCTCTTTATCCGACTTCTTCCCCCAATAAACCCTACAACCGCCGATCATTTTCCGATTTAAAATCTCCGGTGACGAGACGACGATTATGATTCACTCAAGTTTTTTTTTGAACCACTCGAAAGATGAGATCTTTGAGATACGGGTCCGTGGTTGTTATCATCACCCACGTCAGATCCTTGTGTTTAATTTTACCTCTTGGCGTAGTTTAGTTTTAGTTGGGTTATAATGCGCCTTTATTGTTTTTACGACGTCGTTTGTTTTGCCACGTCATGAGGTTACCGTGGAAGTAATGGTTAAATACAGTACTACTACTATAACAAGACTTGTTTGCTTCATCTACGACTTCTATAAGAAGTGCAAAAGGTCTCTCTTTTTAGATGAAAGATAGATTTTGAAGAGCAAGTTCACGTGATTTTTTTTTTTTTTTTTTGATATACCCGATCGGCTGATCCGGTCAGCCTCGGTAGGAACGCACCGGAGTGCTACAGAGTGGATTCACTACCACCCCGAGAGATGGGCTACCACACTGCCTGATCCGAGTTTGGAATGCTTTCCGACTAATGCCCGGGGATAGCTGGATCGCCTGTTACCAGACTAGTAGGTAAACTGCATGGGCCGAAACTCAAGCCCAGACTTCCCAACAAAGTGTTGATAACAGCGAGGGAGGAAGATCGAACCCGGGTTCGGGGATTTCACCCTCAACGCCGGACTCGCTCTACCACTTGCCCACCACCTTGCGGGCCACGTGATTTTAATACTATATGATTATCCACAAATAAATTAAGGATAAGATATTAGAAGAAAATTATATCTTTAAAGGGTTTCTATCATCCCTCCAAAATTGGAACATGGAGACTAACAAAGTCCAATTTAACCACGAAGCTTTGGTGAAGATGTGAGCATTTCAACTCGTAGAAAATACAATGAATGGTTAGATAGGCTCTTTCTATGTCACATCTCCAACAAAATAACAATTTATTTTAAAATACTTTGTTCTTTAGTGAAAATGTAAATTGTTGTGATAGGTTAAATCGCATGACTATTACAATAAATTGACCGCAACTATCTTTTTACGGCTTGGTTGGTTCTCTCGCTAGCATCCGCCTAGCGGTTGTTAGCGGTTGGTTGCGGTTCTTAGCGGTCGGTTGCGGTTGTTAGCGGTTGGTACCAATCGTAGAAACTGTTCTATACTGCTTCAAACCACTCGAAATCGCTGGATTTCAAAAGCTCCTTTCCGCAAGCGTTTGCGGTTACGGGCGGTTGCGATTGGTTTAAAAAAGAAAAATGGACAAATTAAAATAAAATATTATCATGGCTTACATATATTCACGTTAATTCTAAAAAAACAATAATGATCTAACTTTAATTTTCTAATATTAATAATTATTTTCTTTTCAATAAAAAAAATTATTTGAATAAGTTTTAGTAATTATTCATGGTTTTTAATCATTAATCATGTTTAAAATTTATATAATTTTTCATAATTATAGTTTTTGGTGTTTTTATATTTTTTCATAATTATATATTAAATTTATTTTGGTAAATTTTGGTCTAACCGCTATCGTAACCGCTGATCAATCAGTCATAAATCTCTCGCAAATGCACCAGTTTTTAATCGCTAAACTAGTCGATCAAAACGCTAAATACCGCTTGAAACCGCAACCACCCGCTTTCGCAAACTCCCACAACCGCAACCGTAACCACTGCGTTTAAACCAGTCAAGCCCTTAATCAGTAGATTTTTTCACCCAAAGACACTGCTTTTTCAAACATAAAAACTGGTCCGGTTATATGATTCTATCTACATATGCTTTTGATTGACGACAATATTTTTAGGTACAACATTTATTCGTACAAAGAGGATTGTCTAAAATTCCCAAAATATTTATAGAATATTAGAGTCCCAGTCAACTTAAATCTTGTTAATTATATACATTGGTAATGACCCGTTCATATCGTTTATACAAATCAATTTGCTTCTCGCATGATCCACACATTTTCATTAATTATTAAATATATTATATATAATGGAAATGACCCTCTTACATTTTTTGTCAATGTTCTTCAAAAACTTCACAATCTTGTGCAACATATGATAAGCCTCACCATTTTTCAAAATGATCTAACAAAGGCAAACTAGACAAATTTTGTTTTGGCGAGTTGGGTGTTCCACATGCCATTTTTTTTTTGTCAAGCCATTATGTGCTTTAAGATGATAAGAATTACGATCTAGGCTGCCAAAATTTGCATTAGGTCCCTACATGATCTTTTTTTTTTCGTTTAGTCGCATATTGAATAGTCAAGTTTCCTGAGGATCACACCCCTAGAGAAGAGGAGATCATGTTTGTGTAACCTATTATCCTATCCGTTTCAAAATATAAGATGTTTTGAAAAGAAAAAAAATTTTACAATATAAAATGTTTTCAAGATTTTATGCATATAGAATAATTTAATATTTTCTTATTATTTATATTATACAGTTTCATTCATTATTGGTCGAACTTTTTAATAATATATAGTTTTTAATCAGCGTGATTTTAGCTAAAACATTTTATATTTTGAAATGGAAGAAGTATAACATAATAATTGTTGTGTTTAAAAATATTCAATGCCTCTACATTTCCCTTCTCTTTGATTCATCTCTTTTTTCAGTCGTTGTGTTTAAACTTTTATATATTACTTAATTATTGTTGTGTTTAACAATAAATGAATGCCTCTACATATCTTTTCTCTTTGATTCATCCCTATTTTCAGCTGATCCACCATCTCTTTTAATCTTTCGTAGGAATATTTTTTTCCAGATGAGCATGTGAATTTTCCGGTTAATAACTAATGGTGATCCACTAATATTAGACCCTAGGCAAAGATTAGATATTGCTGGTTCGAGTGTTTGCTAAACCAAAATACATTAAATTAACCAGATTTTAACCAAAGCTTATCAAACCAAATGAGGTATAGCCAATTTAGCGATAACTGAAGTTTCAAACCACAGAATCCTGTCACAATAAACCATACTTGAGAAAAGCATAAACATCGGTGGAAAAACCGGCATGCGGACGAACACCTAGTATTCTTAGATAGTTATATATATATCTCAAAATCTCTATTTTTTTTTTTTAATTTATTTATTTATTTATTTTTTTACTTTAAATTTCCATTAATAAAAAAGAAACAGATACAAGGTCCAAAAAACCCAAAAAAAGCACGCATGCCCAAAATATACATGGCAACCAGCCTAAAAAGGCACACAGGCCCAAAGCATACATGGCAAACAGCCTAAAAAGGCACTCAGGCCCGAGAGGAAAGGTGCCAAAAGCCCACAACAGAAGCACAACCTTATCAAAATCTCTATTTGTTTAGATTATGATCTCATATCTTGTACTATCTATTGAGAAATACATGAATAATCTAAATTAACCTACATTGTTCTTGTGTTTGGTCTGAGGTCTCTCTACTTCAAAACTAAGGGCATGCCAATTCGTCGGTTGTCGAATTGCGTTCACAACTACGCAACTTGAGAACAAGTGAAAAACTAAACGTAGAGGAAAACAAGTACTATGTGGATTAAGTCAAAACTTACCCAAAAATCCGAAGAATCCAATAACTAAAAAAGCAAAGCATAAGTCAAACCTAAAAAATTGGAATGGGTCACACGTTATTAAAATAACTAATACAATAATCTCTCTACCTGATGCTTCTTAAATAAAACCATAAAAAATTAACAAAAAAAAATGTCGGAATCACCCAAAAACGGTACCGTTTCATAGCTCAAGACAAGAGCTTCGTTCTCGAACTTTGCGCTTTAATTTTTCTTTTTCTCCTGTGTAAGTGCAAACATCTAAATTCCCAAGAACCAAAACAATAATCTTTAATTATTTCAAAGATTTAATTATTTCAAAGATCCGTAAATTCAAAGCAACATCAACGTTCTTGAGCCTCTTTAATCATTCTTTTATAAACCAAAATTTCCTCTGGAATTTTATAATTTGTATGGGCTGATCAGAGAAAAGCCACTTTTGTGTTTCCAATTTTTTTCATTATTGTGTTTTTTTTTAGCTGGACTGTGTCTGAAATCTGAATCATTCAATGCTTTTCTAAATCTCTCTCTCTTTCTCCTTCTCCTTCTCTCTATCTATCTCTCCATCGAAGCAACAGCCATGGGCGACGAACACTCTCTCATCCCAAAGGTACCTTTTTGTTTCCTGGGTCTCCTTTCTTTACGCTTAATCTGATTAGGGTTTCTTCTTTTCGAGTAATCAAACCCATGATTCTGTAAAAATCGAAACTTTCTGCATCTGGGTATTGTGTAATTTTGAATTTTGGGTTTCTTTAAAGCAAATTTAATGATACACATGTTGTGTTTTGCCCTTGAATTAAGGTTTTTGTTTCTAAAATAAGCAAAAACAAGTCACTTAACATGTGTTGTGTTTTTTTTTTGTGTTGCAGGATAGTTTTGTCTTCAAGCTTCCTAAAAAATCACCACTTGTGTTAAGAACGGTTGTTCTCTTGTTTGTGATGGTTTGTACTGTTTATATTTGCTCTATTTGTTTGAAGCAAATTGGTGTTGTTCCTAGTGCTGGATTCTTGAATGTTGAAGTGTTTGAGAGACAGTGTCCTGAGCCTAATATTGAACCTTGGGACATACCTTATGTTCATTATCCTAAACCTAAGACTTATAGCAGGTAAAATGAGAGTTCTTTGATTTTGGTTTTGGTTTGTAATGCATTATGTGTTGATTTTGTGGGGTGGAATTTTGGTTAGGGAGGAATGTTCGTGCAATCCCGTTAGGTATTTTGCTATTCTCTCGATGCAGAGATCTGGTAGCGGCTGGTTTGAGACTTTACTTAACAATCATACTAACATAAGCTCGAACGGGGAGATCTTTTCGGTTAAAGATAGGAGGGCTAATGTGACGACCATTTTTGAGACCTTGGACAAATTGTATAACTTAGATTGGTTGAGTAGTGCTTCTAAGAACGAGTGTACCTCTGCCGTTGGTTTGAAGTGGATGCTTAATCAGGTAAGGTTCTTAAATGTTTAAAAAATTGCTTCTCTCTTTATGGGGAATGGTTACTTACTGTT